TGTTGTTGTTGTTTTTCTTCTTGATGATAACAAGTTGATGATATAAAAGGAGTTGAAGATACAAATAGTGTAAATATGGAGAAAAGGAAAACTTTATCTCTCTCATCCTTATCTTCATCTTCATCATCTTTTCTTGGCTAATAATCTAATTGAAGCTTGACCATGATAATAATGAACAAAGAGGTTGATTGTATCCAAAAAGTGCCAAGAAAAACAGAGAGCGAGATGAAGATGGAGATGAAGATGAAGATGATTATTATTGTGTACGAATGTGTAAATTTACTGTTACTTTTCGAGTTCTAAAAATAAACAATCACCATTAATGTCGCATCTTTTTGTATCTCAATTAGTGATAGATTTGATTATTGTAATATTTTGGCTTTTCAATCAATTTACTGATGATGATGTTCATATTCAGTTATTACTCATCACCATTACCAAGCAACAACATTATCATGTACATGATGTTGGAAAATAATTATCAGCCTAATAAATATAATAATAAACAATATTGTATATATTATTTACTCTCAATTTTCACTTGATTAGTTGGGAATTATTATTGTCCAAGGGACTTGTTTAGTGTTTTCATGATGAATATGAAGCAAAGAGAATCATGTTTACCATGTAAAAAGAAAAAGGCAAAAAAAGATAAGGAGAAAGACAAGAAAAACTGAATAACCAGAATCTCTTGGAATAAGAAACCAACAATGTTTACTTGGAATAGTAATAAAATAGATTAGATGGAAAAAAGGTAAAGAGAGAGATGAAGATGAGGATGATAAGGTGCAAGATCTCCGAAAGGATGAGGTTAAAGTGTCTTCGAACTCGATAATGAACTGAACAGGTACGATAAATGATAATCTGAGTTCTTGCTTCGTTCTCGAGTCTTTTATCATTATTATTATTTTTTCTCTTCGTTTTTCTCTTTGTTAACGATATCGTTAGTTTTTACTGTTTTTCCCTTCACTTTGTTGGTGTTATTCTTGTTCCTCTGTAACCTCCATTGAATACCCATGTGTATTCGTGAAGATGAAAATGATGCATAAGATGATAAGTTACCATAAGAAGATGAGAATGAAATTTTTTCTTTTCATCTTCATCTTCATCTCTTTTCCTTTTCCTGTGTACATATGAACATGAATATATTTCTCTTGAATCCCTAATGTATTAGGTGAATGTAATATAACCCATAGTTTCATTCCGATTGACCTCAAGGTAAATAGAGTTTATATTTTTTTGTTTCTCCAATGTAAGATTAGACTTGTTAGATAAATGGAAGGTTGAAAATTCAGTTAAGTTCATTCAGAATTCAAGGATTGAGCTCATTTGATATATACTAACATGATTATTATGCTTACATAGACTCATGGCTTATGAAACAATCAAAGTTTAAATATCTAATACTTGAAACTGTTAACCTAAATTAAGTATAATTACTATGCTTTAAATCAAATTGATTAACTTATAATGATAATTAATTAGAAGGTAAAATTTTCGAGTGAAAAAAAAAGTTTTTTTTTCCAGCATCTCTCGAACTTAGTTGAGTTCGAGAGTGAAGATGATACAGAATAGGAAGTTAAAAGTGATTAACAATCAACAAATTGTGGTCCAAAAAAATTGAGATTTATCATCATTATCTATGAACAAGATCAATCATCATTACGATTGAATATCAATTAGTTTTGATGTAATTAGCATCTAATGTTTTCCAATGTAAACTTGTGTTAAAAATCAATGGATGCTAAAGGTTATTATGTTTATTAAATATCATCATCATCATTATTAGACATTCAAAGTGTCCATCCTCTTATCTTCATCATCTCCATCATCATCTTCTTGTCATTTGCACCTTGAAACTCAGGTAAAGAAAACATTTACATAACATTATTTAAACATCATTAAATCAGGATGCAAGTTGAATGCCTTCAGATGATGAGGATGAAGATAATGATGATAATGAAAACAAGACACTTGTCCAGGTAATTTTAACACCTTTATAGTTAATCATCATCATCATGATGAAGATAAAGATAAAGATTGAAAGAGAGAGAGAGAGAGAGAGAGAGAGAGAGAGAAGATAAAAGCGGAAGTAATGTTTCATCTTCCCACACCTAAGATATTAAACAAACGGAAGTCGATGAAAAAATTATCATCCAACTCTAACTATGATGAATCTTCATGATATTATTATTATTATCATTATTCTATCATTAATATATATAATTACCATTGCATTGTCATCTCTCCATCCTCATCATTGTATAATAGCAAAACTAATTACTCTGTGAGGAGAATGTGAATCTTGATGTAGAAAAAGAAGAAGAAAAAAGTTTTTTTTTCTTCTTTTTTGAGAAGGAAAAAAAGTTCTCTTTACAATTAATCAATAAATTATCGTTATTATTATTGTTTCTTATCATCTTAGTCAATCTGCTTCAAGGTGTCTACATATTTTATCGTCATCATCATTACCTGTTCACCTGAGCCTTTAACTGTCTCTTTCCATGTGTCTGATTACAGTAACATGGTAAAAAATTTTTCCAATAACAAAGGTAAACAATCAGGGTAACATGATGAGAGAGAGAGAGAGAGATTATTTTTATCATCAAATAGCCAAAGGGATGAGGAAGCAAAGGGTAAGATGATAAAGAAGATGATAAAGATGACAAGTTATAAAATTCTTGGAATTGTGCTCAAGTCATTAGAGAGAAAGAGAGAGAAAAGATATTTTATCATCTTTTATCTTCATAATTCTGAGCTATCTGATAATTCAGCTGATAAATTGGATTTTGATTTAGTTAATTGTGATTAACAAGATGTTGGAAAATAAATTCCATCAACAATTTAGCTTACTAGTTTTTTCCATCATTCTGATTGATTTGATTACCTATGAGTATGATTGTGATTATGTTGATGATGAAGGAAAAAACTTTGCAACAATTTATGATCAATTTAATTTTGACATTTATATGAATTTAAATTGATAATTTGAACATTTAACAGATAACGGAATGAGAAAAAAAAACTTTGAAACTAAATTGTTGCAGTGAATTATGATTACAATATTTTTCCAATGGTTAATTGTGATTATAATCATGGTTTTAATTACCAATGAATGGCTGGTTATTAACAATCAATAAGCTGATTGAAGTTGTTCATTATCGCAATTGAACTTTAAGATGAACATGATGATGATGATAATATTAAATCTTAAGGTAGATTGAGGCTATTTGATAACGAAGGGAAAAATAAATAGAGAGTGATGATTATGATGAAGATGAAGATGAAGATGAAGATAAGGGATGATGATGATGATAAGGATGAAGGAGTAAATATAAAAAAAAGTGACAAAAGAGGATTTTAGTTGGTTTTATATTGGTTTTTGTGGAGATGAAGAAAAGATATTGAATTGAAAATTGTTTTTTTTCTCCTTCTTCTCATCTTTTATCATCATTCTAGTGATGAAAGGGATGATCATGAAGACGTAGGTATGGAGAGGGAGAAGAAGAAAAGTTCTGACAGAATTTACCTCAAACTTTTTTTCTCTCCATGAAAAATATTCTCATATTTTTATTCTTCTATTCTCTCTCTTGATGATAATCCTATTTCTCTTCCTCTTTAAAGATGAGGATGATAATTCTTGTGTATATATGTGTGTTGATGAGGGAGAATGAAGAGAGATTTACTAAATGATGATCATCATCTTCTTCATCTTTAAGGGGAAAAAGGTACATGGTGGATAATGGGTGGAGTAGGAAGCAACTAACAAGAATTTTCTCTTGAAATTCCCATATAATTCAAAGCACGTTCCTAGGAACCAATATTATTTTTATTCTTTTTTTTTCTCTCTCTCTCTCTCTCTCCCTCTTTTTCTCCATCCTCATCTCTCATCATCATCTCATGTTCTTAGACTCATTGTTGTTATTATTGTTTACAGGGGAAGAGAAATATTCAGCAAGATGAAGGATAAAAGGAGCAGAATGAAAATTTTAACCATGGTAACATCTTACTCTAAATGTTTTGTACATGTTATCATCTTCATCTTCATCTTCATCTTCATCCTCAGCCTCATCATCTTTATCTTCATCTTTGTTGTTACTCTTATTTTTATGATTTTCTTTGGATTCTTTTTCTTATTATTATAAACAAAGGTAATAACGATTTTCCATGAAACAGAAAAGTTCTGATTCTGAATTTCATTCCCTAATGATTATATTTATTCAATGATATCAATGTGAATATAATTTGCTTTGATTATCTGTCTAAACAACAATTAGATGGGTAAACAATTTAAATTGTTAAACTTTATCATTTACCATTTTTACTTACATTATTAGTATTCAGTTAATTTAGTCATGATCAGAATCTTTATTTAGTTGATTATCTTATTCTTATGTAGTTTTAACCATCGAATATGTTAAAATAAAAAAGTTCTAAACTTTTTTTCTTTTCTCTCTCTCTCTCTTTCTCTCTATTCATTTTCTCAGTTATTATTATGAATTATTATTGTTCTGGGTGAGAAGATGAAATAATTCCTGGTTCCAATTGAATGTTCATGATACTTAAACTTGGAATTTTCCTCTCTTTCTCGCTATTTTTGTTCTACGTGATTAGAATCATTTAGAATAACAGATAATTAAACATTTGAACGGAAATCGTTACAATCGTTTTTCCTTTTCGTTCATTTTTCAATAAGAAAAAAAACAAATTCTTTTCTCTCAAATTCTCTCACAGAAAATTCAAGTTCAAAAAGAAAACAAAACCAACTCGAACGAAGAGAAGAGCAAAAAGTTTATTTCGATCTCGAATCGAAACACTTTGAATATTAATCATCTTTTTCTGTTGTTCCAAGGGATCGACTAATAAAAAAAAAAGAAAAGAAATTGAATTTTTTTCTGATCTTGCGCAATGAAGAAAACGGTTACTGCGCATTCGCAGATTCGATCAACTGAATTTCTGGTTCTCTTTATTTTCTTCACCAGGAAAGTTTAGTCTCTTTCTCTTGTTCTGTTGTTAAGGTTGAACATTGAACATTTTTGTTGTTTTCTTTTTTAGCTTAACTGATAATCTCTTTTTTCTGTTTTTCTTTTTCTCTATTTTTTATTCTTGGTGTTGAAATTGATCATTTTTGGATTTAAATTCTCTTTGTTGTGTATAAACAGTGTAACTTTTAGTTTCTTTTCCATGGCACCAAATATACCATATAAATGGTTATTTAGGTCCACTGGTTAGAGAGAATTTTTTTTTCTTCTTTTCCAAATGTTCTACCATTGGTGTCAGCTTTTTCTCCACCACCATTTATATTATGGTTTAATACTGTTACTGTGTCTTCTACTTGGTTTATCATCTTCTCCTGTTTCTGCTGCTGGTTCTTCATCTTCTACTGGTTATGGTGGTGGTGGTGGTGGTGGTGAATCTATAATTCAAAGATTCAGTGGAAATTTAAGTCATTCAGATGATTTTAGGTTAATTGTTCGTGATGGTGATTATCTAATTATTGGATCGAAAAATTTAATCTACAATATTAGCTTGTCAACCTTTGAACCGGTTAAGAAAATTGAATGGTATCCAACGGAAAAAGATCTTGACTCTTGTGTTCTTAAGGGAATCAATAGGGAGAAACGCTGTCAAAATTATATTCGTGTTCTAGTTTTAAAATCAGATGGAGGCCTTTTTGTGTGTGGTACTCATGCTTACAGGCCAAAGTGTCGAGATTATGTGCAAACAGTGAACGGATATGAATATCGAAATGAAACCCCTGGAGATGCTTTATGTCCATTTGGTCCAGATCAAAATAATACAGCAATTTTCGCAGGTAACATCAATCAATCACCTCATCCTGATCATCAACATGAATTCAGTTTTTGTTTCTCAATGTTTGTGTGAGATTTTCCATCGTCAATTCATCAGGATCCATTTCTTTGTTTTACTAAAAAACTATTGAAATAATCCAATCATTACAATTCAATGAGATAGTGTTGAGAAATTAAGGTTAATTTTGATTAGGTTCATCCTAATTTAGTTTAACAATGATTACTTTACATTTAAAGTAATCAGGTTCCAATCATCATGATGATGGTTGAAAGATGAGATTTTTAATGTATTGGTGTTAAAATCAAGTATTTTAACATAACAGTTTTTTTTACAATTACGATTTAAACAGTAGGTATTGAAGTTAGTTAGTGATTAAATTGAGTTGATCAACAATAAGATGATAATGATTATGATGGTGATGATGATGAAAACCAAGCATAATTATCACCATCATCAATATAATCAGTTGTTTAGTTGTAACAACTCAAAACAATTAACTAAAAATATAACAATGATTTTTTTTTCTTCAAATTCTGATCTATAATTATGTTCAACTATTTATATTCATCTACACCCTTACGATGACCAATAACCTTAACTAGTTTAATTAGAGGTCAACTTGAATATTGAACAGTGTAGATTGTTGTCGACAATCTGATTAAATAGCTGAGTTTTTGATTCTTTGACCTGATGGTTAACAATTAACAATTCTGATTCCTGGAAAACCAGAAAAACAGATATTCCTTTCACCTCTAATTTATTATCATCATCAATTTATTAATGATAATAACTCTCTCTCTCTCTCTCTCTCTCTCTCTCTCTCTCTCTCTCTCTCTCTCTCTCTCTAACTAACAATTGATTATTTAATCATCACCAGAACCTGTAAAGGATAAACCAGGTACATTTTCACTAATTCTAATTAACTCACCTTTCCGATTCTAATCTCCACAAATTTTAATTCATCTTACTAATTAGAATCATCAGCATGTTGATTTGTTTTTATTTTCTCATCCCTTTGGCTCTTTATTGTGTTTACCTTTTATCTCGTTTACTTTGATTTTTTTTTCTCTTGTTTGACTTTTCACTCTTCTGATTTTTGATTCTTAATCTTGACCGTTTTTCTTTTGTTTTATTCCCTTTGTTAACAAAGATTATGCAGTTAATCCGTTTTGTTTGCTAATTGTTTTCTTTTCTTTTTCTCTCTCTCTCTCTCTTTAGAATCCAAACTTTATGCAGCTACACCCACCGATAGAGCGGGAAGCTCATATTCAATTTCAAGATTACCCTTGCAAACGAGAACTTCTGATGTTCAACAATTAAATGGTAAATACTGTAAAACAATCAACTATTTACATTGGCAATTGATTGTGTTCACTCTATTAACTGTTTGTTTCTCTTTTCTTTCTTCAGAGCCCAATTTTGTAAATTCTCAGGTTTATGGTCAACATGTTTACTTTTTCTTCCGTGAAAATTCCGTTGAATTCAGTAACTGTGGTAAAGCTATTTACCCAAGAGTTGCTCGAGTTTGTATCAATGATCAAGGTCATCCCTCATTCAAAAGTCTATGGACCAGTTATCACAAAGTCCGTCTCGACTGTTCCATTCCGGGAAAACTTCCTTTCCAATTTAATGAATTACGTACGTTTAATTAGCATCGTCTTTATGTATTTTCTTTTCCCTTCATCAATATGGTTCCGATTAATATTTTTGGCGAATTTTGATGACCTCACCTTTAACTCCCCTTGTCTTTTTCAATCATTATCGATTTCACTCAAACTAATTGGTCTTTTTTTACCTCTCTCTCTCTCTATTTTTCATGTTCTCTTTTGTTGTTCTCCCCGATAATATCATTAACTCACTTAAATTTGGACACACCCGCAAAAATTATATACTTTGAACTACTAACTACTCTCTTCTTATGGTTCCTATGATTTTGTTGGTTTCTTTGATGGATTCTCTCTCTCTCTCTCTTTCTCTCCTATTTTCAATGGATTTGCTGGTGTGTGGATATGTGTTTGTTTCTTTCAAACTATTATCTGTGTTCACAATTAAACAGAATCAACCAGTGATATAATTAGAGGAAGTTATAGTGGACGAGATGCTGATATTTTCTATGGAGTCTTCACAACACCCGATAATGCATTATCTGCATCAGCTATTTGTGCCTACACCATGGGAAGTGTTCAAGATATATTTGACAATGGTCGTTTCCTTGGTCAAGAAAGGTTCAACTCTATCTGGGCAGAGGTTCCTGAGTCACAGGTTCCCTCACCTAGACCAGGTCAATGTGTTCCAGATTCACGGGCAACATCAGATGCCCGGGTCATCTTTACCCGAGATAAACCCTTAATGGCGGGTTCTGTTCGTCCACTTTTTGGTGTACCCATTATTATGCAAACAAATCCAAAATTTAGATTTACCAAAATTACCGTTGACTCTCAAGTAGAAACCGTGTCCGGGTCACGTTTTGATGTACTTTTTATTGGTACAACTGATGGACATGTGCTGAAAGTAATCAATTCAGCCTCTAATGCACCCAATGGACATGAAAATTATAATAAAACTTTACCCGTGGTTATAACCGAGATACCAGTTTTCCCGGGACGACCTGTAGTCAATTTAATGATACACCGAACTCTTTTTGAATCAAAGTTAATTGTTGTCTCTGATGGTGAAGTACAAGGTATTCCCTTATCTAAATGTGAAAAACGTGCCAATTCCTGTGGAAAATGTGTTGCCCTTCAAGATCCATATTGTGCATGGGACATTTCCAGGTCACTATGTACCTCGTCCAGAGTACGAATCTGGAATCGAGATAATTTTGTTCAAAATGTTGAAGAAGCTTGGGACAATAGGTGTCCAGACGGAAGACCGCCAGGTCCAAATGAGGCGGGAATAGATGGTTATCGAAATAGTGATCGTCCAGGTGATCGTTTATCTTCTGGTGAACGAGGTGGTGGTAATGGTGGTTCTCCGCCGTTAACAGCAGAAAGAGCCAGTGGATCAGATGAAAACTCAGCTGGAGCCAATTGTGAGATTGCAGCTTCACAGTGTTTCTCATCGGATACCTTAGCCTTTGGAATAGTGACCTCAGTAGTTTCCTCGCTAGTTATTGGTTTTATTTTTGGCTACATTTTTAGTAGCCGGTGTAAAAAGGATCCAGGGGTGTGTTCACCTTACGCCGATGGTCGAGCTTATCTTGACCATAGGACATTAAGTAGACATTTACCAAATGACTCTTACGGTGGGATAGGTGTTCCATCAATTAATAAACCAATTAATTTAGTGTTAAATGTTCCACCCAAGAACGGAAAAAACGCCAACAGCTCGGCAGACAACAAACCTTTTCAGAAGGTGAAGAAGATATATTTATAGAGAATAGGCTTCATCGTGGTTCAATTAAACAACAACAACAACAACAACTTCAACAGCAACAATCACATTCACATATTTATCAACCTACACAACAATGGGAATCAACTGTAAATAGATATTCACATGAAACTGAGTATCATGATTCTGATTATGAAGATATAAGTGATCTCTGAGCCATTGAATTGTTTTTTTTTCTAAAGTTTTAATTAACTCAACAAACCACAACGAAACCACAATCTTAAAAGCTATTCATCTATCGCAAACAACCAGCTCATAGTCATCTTGAAAACCAGAAGATTTGGACTCACAATCCCGATCTACATCGATCTCAAACCCAATCCAAGCTTCATCTTAGGCTGATGTCTTTTTTTGTGTTGTGTCAAAATTTCTGGTTAACAAGTTCAAGTTAAATGACATCGGTTGACTTTCTTTCTCTAAAACTTCATCATTTCATTGGATATTCAAGCCTTCAACTCTGAAAGGGTACTCGTAATTCAATGTTGCCTCTGCCGAGGGTAAACAAACAAACAACATTTTTTAATGTAACATCATTTTCGCCAACTTTTTTTCATATCTTGTTCCTCTTGTGTTCATTTTATCCTTCATCTGCTTACCATCATCATCATCATCATCATCATGCTCATCTTATTAATAATTAGCATCGCCATCATCATTTACCCACCACCTTCATCATCAGTCAAGGATCTTATCTCTCTCTCTCTCTCTCTTTTAACTTATTGTATACAAAAGCAAACTCAAGCTAATCAAAACAAAGACAATGGAATTGATAATTTTGTATAAATCTGAGAAAAAAATCCAATGTAAGGACAAGACACTCACAAGTCAGAAATGTTTTCATGCTCTCTAATTGTACAATAATAATAAAAAACAATTTTTTCTTTCTCCACAAATGAATTCCCAACAATGTCCATAATTTCAATTTCATTCTGATGGTCACTCTTTCATTGTCAGGTGAAACAACAACAATCGTAACCCAAATCGATAAAAGTAAATCCCACCAGTGGGTCAATTGCAAAGTTCATTTACATCGGAATCCAAAACAATTTACCAAACAGTTAATAGAATCAATAATGTCCATCTCTCTCTCTCTCTTTCACTGACCATCTGAATAAGACAAGAGAATAATAAATGAACACTAATGATAATCACCTAAATAATCAGATAATTTAATTCACTCGAATTGAAATAATTTACATTCATTAATCTAACTGTTTACGTTCATTTAATTTTCCAATCAATTTGTAAACTATTATTATTATTGTTGCCTTGTTTTTTTTCCTGTTCCTGTTAATCATCATGAACCATTATCATCATTTATGATGATGATTTCATTGTTACTTTAATTCATTTTCACGCTTAACCATTTTGCCTGATCAACTCTAACTTCCTGTTTATCTTCATAAAAATCTTCCTCTCATCATCAACATAACCATCATGTTGAACTTTCAATGTATTCAGATAATAATTGAATCCATTATCATTTACTTTCACTTATTCTTACCCTTCTCTCTCATTATCATCATGTTTTCATCTTGTTATGATTGTTATTTGTTTATTTCATCATCATCATCTCATCATATTAACTGACTTTGGTCTCACCTTTATCTCTCTCTCTCTCTCTCTCATTAGTTTCTTTTTCTCACTCTGGTTGATTCTTCATTTCTTACTTTTCCTTTTCATCATCTTACAGATTCTATCATCTTCCATCCCATTTTTCCATCCTCATCATCTTGTTTATTTTCTCTAACTTTTTCTCTCATCTTTCATCTTCTCATTCTCATCCCTCATCTTCTTTCATTTTCTCTTTAAAATATTTTCTTTTCTTCTCCTTCTAACCAATTTAAGTTCTACTCGTGACTCATTTTCTCTCTTTCTTTGTTTTTATTATTCCTTTTTTATCATCCCTTTATCATCATCTTAACCATCATCAGCATCTCATGTTACATGATAGAGAAACAAATGAGAGAGAAAGACTCAAGACTAATGAACACATAGCAACATCTATTGAGCGGGAAAGTTACAATTCCAAAAGTTGAATTGTTAGAAACAGGAACGAATCAAACAGAAAATCAATCGGAAAATATTATCCACACAAATGAACGTCCATTCAATTTGGCTTATTTAGTTTCCATTGTAACAATTTAACCAACAATCAAGTTGATTATGAATAAATGCAACATCAGCATTAAAGATAAACATGAAAAGGTTATCGATCTATGTTTCATTCATCATCCATCATCATCATCATCATATTGATTCAGGTTGAGAAACAAAAAAGTTCATTTCCTCATGAAAAATATGTAAGTTTGAAAAAACTTTGTTCCTGTGTAAATATAATAAGTAAAATGTATTATTAATAATAATTGAATTAAATTGTTCAACTTAAATTGTAATGTTAATCTAATTTCAATTTTTTTCTCTCTCTCATGATAAGGTTAACATGTTGATGATGATGATGAAGATAATCATCATCAACAATCAATCAATCAATGGAATCATTTGGATTAATCAATATTGATCATCATCATCAAGAGGAAATGGTTAACAATTAAATCGATCACTTTCTTAACCCAACCAGTAAATTAATCATCATACATGTTGATTGTTGGATGTTAATTGTTTTATTATTATTATATCGTGATCAAATTTCGTTAATTATTATGATTAACTTGCCATCAAATTTGGTGTCTCTATGTAAACACCCAATATATTATATAACCTTCATGATGTTTTTTTTGCAATTGAATCAAATTAATATCTAATGGAGTCAAACAATCAATTATAATTATGATAATATCAATATTTATGATCAGCGTAATAGCAAAAAAAAATCAATAGCTAATCATTCAACTATCAATAGTTAAATTAAGACAATTAAATTATATTGACCAATGTTATTTATGATGATTAACCTTAATCATGATCGCGTTTTCATTTGTCATCAAATTTTGATTGAAAGGTAATCATATTAATTTATCTGATTGTATGAAATGAATGAAACAATTAACTCAGTCACTAAAATCTTATATATCTCATGTAATCAAATTGCTAACAATCAACTAATTGCCAACAACTAACTTTGACTAACTGTCAACTTTAATCATGAATTGATTTTGATTGTTGCAAAATTTGAAACAATAAAGACACTAGAGATTTACACATGAAGGTTATTAATGAAATCACCATTAACTAATTAAGATTACCAATGGTTATTAATTGACATTGATTTGATCATTTACAATTAGGATGAGAGAGTGAAAAAGAGAGACACTGATCACAATCAGTTAATTGTTGTTTCAAAATCATAAGTGTACAAATGTTTATACACTTTAATTCACTGATAGTGATCAACTCAACAAGGAGAAAGTTTCAAATTATAATTATTTGTTTTCACTGATTTAATGATAACACTGATTAAGATTAATCAATATTCAACCATGGTAACAATTTACTCTCGTTTTATCAACATTATCATGGGAATTTTTTTCATTCTCGCAACGATTGTCCAACATAACGATCCCGATTGGTACTTGTGGGGCACCGTCTACATTATACCCGCGATCATGTCGTTCATTCAGGCCTTTGGTCCATCGATTGCCGCTCATTATGTTTACCAGGCTTTCATAAGATCTTGTGGCTTCTTGTATTCACTTTTGGTTCTAATCCATGGATTTTATTTCCTATCCAATGGCGGTACTTTCATGGCCTCGGGATCTTCCGTTCCCTTGATCGATCCCTCGGTGGGTGACATTGAGAATCGAGAAAGTTTAACCATCCTGGAGACTGAGGAAGGTAAAGAGTTTCTTGGTTCGTTAATTGCTCTAATTTGGATAATCATCTCAATCTATTTAACGACTACTTCAACTGTTGGCGATTCTGCCATTTCCAGGAGATTTAAATTACTCATTTTCGTCTTTACCATTTCACCTTTAACCTTATGGTTTATCTTATATCTTCTTGAGAGTAACAGTTGATTCCTTGATTCTCTGATTTGGATTCAATTCAAGAAAAGTAAAAGATTAACGATTAACTTGACAATTTGTTTTTTCTTTCACGATTCTTTAAGTGTTTCTGTAAAATTTTTCTTACAACATCCAATCATAATTACCAATTCATTAATGGAAAAATCATTAACCAATTAAATTGAATTTTAAAAGCAAAAATTTTATCGATTCTTTTAATTGAACAGTTTAATTAAATTCTCATTTCAAATCTAATTTCATTCTCGAAATTAGTTACCCAAAGAAACATTTTATTCTTCACCAATAGATGGCGACACTAATTTACAAATTCTTCAACTTGGGATAAGAGTGACATTTAAATTGTATCGATTTCTGTTTCTATTTCATCGCCATCTGTTGGTCTTGAGATTTGAATAGAAATTGATTTTCCATTTTCCGCTCAATTCAACCAATAGATGGCGACTGTGTATTCGTAATCCGGATAAATTGTTTCAAATTGGAAAACAAAATGTTTAATTAAATGGAAAGAAAATGAAACAATCTAATTGAAATTTGTAATTCTTTTTTTATTTGTCAATTGTCCATTTATTACACAATCAATATTCATCGACAATTACATCAAATAGATTAGAGGGATGAGAGAAATAGGGAGAGAGATGATTAAGATTGATCAAAATTTTGTTTGATTTTTTGAGTTTGGAAACAAATTGATTAAGTTTTCCATAAGGGTTAAAAGTTGATTCGAAGCAATCAATTAAAATCAATCAATGATATAATAAGATGAGAAGATATATTTGTATGTGTATATATATCAGGATGAAAAGGGAAGAGACAAAAAAAAATGACAGGATTAATGATGAAGATGAAATAATTGAAATAATCGAGTTTTGTAAACTAATTGTGTCTCAATTAAACTACAATGGGTTTGGTTTTTTGTTGTTTACAATTTATATTAGGAATCGAAAATCAATGAGTCAATGATGAGAAGATGATGAAGATGAGACCACAGGGATGAGAGCAAGAGAGAGAGAGATGAAGATGAAGATGAAGATGAAGATGAGACAGGAATCAATAAATAACTTCATAAACGGTGGCCTTTTTATCACCCGAACCCGTGACGATGTATTTATCATCGGAAGATATATCGCAACTGAGTACCGATGATTGTTCCCGAGACTGAATCAAGAAAGAGAAAAGAAAAGTTGGAAAAATTAATATAATTATATTATAACAATCAGCGAAAGTAAACAAATCAAAGGATGGACAATTAAACCTTCCCAACAGGTAACATTAAATTGATTATATCATAATAATCATCATCAAATAGTAACAATAATATGAAAGTAACTATGACAACTTGAGTTAATATATCATCAGGTATTATTATCATGATAATCATCTCAAAGGTAATATTTAGTTTACCTTTTGTTTGCTCAAGGTTAACAATGGATTTGTAAGGATGATAAACATGAAGACATGATGATAATGATTGAAATGATGATGATAACGTTAATGATAATAATAAAATGAAGGAAAAGTATCATTTTCATTATCATTTGTAAATCATCAGGACCAAGAAAAACTTTTCTCATAGAGAATGATATAAATATGATTAAGGTGAAATTGTGATGATGATGATTATTGTTACCTGGAAAATTGATGCTCCATAAGGTGTTCTCCATGTATTCAGCATGTTATCCTTTCCAGTGCTGACGAACCATTTACCACAATAAGCAAACTTGAGTGATAATACACAACTTTCATGGAGATGTAATTGATATTTTTCGGGTTTAGAACAATGTAAAACCTCAACATTGCTACTTTCCATTCTGTGAATCAATTGAGAGAAAATTTCAATTAATCTAATTGTGAAAAGAAATTCAATACAATCAGATGAATACGAGATTCGATACCATTGATTGTAATAGATAACAATTTACCAAGAATTAGATTGTTATTGTTGTTAGTATTTGATAGATGGATCGTTTTGATTAGTGTTTAGCAAATTAACAAAGGGATGAGGATGCGATTCAAATCTGACTTGATTGTAATATGAATTGTATTTGAATGATATCATTTTATTATTATTATCATTTCAGTTTACTATTAATAAGTGTGAATGTCTTTGATAAAAAAGGTTGTAAAAAGGAAATTCAAGAGAAAATGGTTAATTAATATATTAGTTTGATTATAATTAATCACTGTAATCACTGAGGCTCTAATTTGTATTAGATTAAATTGTGTTAACTGTTACAATTTTCAGGTTCATTCAGTTGATTCTGGTTTTTTTTTCTGGAAACTTGATTATTTACAATAGGAAAAGTTTGCCAAACAAAATTAACTTCATCTTTTCATGTTAATCATTTTTCCCTCTCCTTATCCTGAGATTATAAAAGTTAATCTTGTTGTTGGTAATGATGATGATAGAGATGATAAAAGATGATAACTTACCCGACAGCAAGCCAATCTCCAGTGGGACAGTAGCCCAATGAAAATATTTGTGATGAGAAATCGTGTTGTTGAAGTTGACGACCCTGTAAATTGTTTAGAGAGAGAGAGGGAGAGAGAGAGAGATGATTAAATGATTATCATTAATTTATTGGCACCAATCATCAGTTTTATTTTTGCAAAATCAATTTGATACTAATGAAATTATCATCAACATCATCATTATAATGATATGGTTGATTTGTATTACACATCAACTGAACATGATAATGATGGAAATGCAAATGATAATGATAATAATGATGATGATGATGATGATAATGACCATAAAAAGATAAATGGTTAATACAGTTTTATCATCATGGAATGAAACAGGAAACGGAAAACTTACTTCTCCAAGATCCCATGAGCGAACTGTATTATCAAGACCACCGGTCCATAATTTGCTACCATCGGAACTTATATCGATACAGGAAGCACCATCAGTGTGACCTTGAAATTGTCTAACGATTGAGTGATTACGTAAATCCCATACAACGATATTACCATCGCTACAACAGCTAAAGCAAACCTTTGAATCTGGACTAATGGCTAAAGCATAACAAGCCGGTGCGGATGAGGTAAGTTCAGCTTTAATACGAGGTTGCTGACCCAAGTCCCAGATACAAATGGCATTGGCCTCACCGCCGACGATTAGGGTTCGACCATCGGGTAACAATTTACACGATCTAATGTAGTTGTCTCTTTGCTATTGATACAAACAAAAAAACAGAAACAAGAAATTAAATTAAAATTGAATTGTCATCACAATTTATCATAAATTAGATTATCATGTAAAGGGGATAAAATTTTCAGGTAAAAGTGAAATGAAAGAGAGACAAAGAGAAGAAGCTAATTTATCATCATCATCATCATCATCTTACAACACGAATGGTGTTGCGCTTACATGATCATCATTATGATGAATATGATGACTGGTGATTGTGGTGATAATGAAATAAGAAAATGAGTTATCATGTATTAACGATAAAAGTGAGTTGACAAACACGCATGTTGACAATTTTGCCGCTCATTTGATCAAAACAACGACAACAATCAACACAAGGACAGACAAGTACACACAACCTTTAATTTAATGATTGTTGATTAATATACTTTTAAGTTAAACCTTTTTCTCATTTACGTGACAACATTTGACTTTCAGCTTGGTTGAGATTTAAATCATTATCATTATCAACCTAATCCTCCCACCTCCTGAAAAAAAAGCCCCTCTAACCCACCCCACCTACTTAATAAACAAGTCTCACTCACTTACTCTGTCAATACAACAATGTCACATGCATATAAAGTGAAATATAAGATATCATCATTATCATCATCATCATCATCTCTACAAATGATAATCAACAAAATATATTCACAAGTAACCTTGTTAAATTTGGGTTTCCAAGTGAGATACAAAAAAATTGACTCAATGGAAGATGAAAAAGTGATCAAGATGAAGATGATGATTGGAAGAAAAATAAAAGTCAAAGACCAGAAAAGAGCAAGATGAAGATGATAAAGGAGAAAAGAGTCAAAATATAAGGATACCTTTTTTTTCATCTTCATCTTCATCTTCTTCTCATCATCATCATGTAACAAGAAAAAAGTTTCACTGAAACAATTTGGTGAATGAATTATTCAACCACAATTAGAGACACACCAATGATTACACAACTTGTTAGTTAATTTTTTCACTATTATTGTATCAAGATGATGATGATGATGATACACTAACTAGACTTCATCATCATCATTCTCATCTTCCTAATCTTTTTTTTTTCCTCATCAATTTGATTATTTTTTTTTTCCTCCAAACATAAACCTCCAATTTCAAGGCGATTCTTTTACACTAAGTTACAACATTTTATTTCTCTTCTTTTTGATCATGTCCATCATCCTCATCCTCATCATCTTTGGGTTGAAGAACAAGAAATGATGATGAAAAAAGAGTAATAACATTTCAGGATCATTTCTCTTCTTCTTCTTCTCATCATCATGGTTGTATAACCTTTTGATTATCAAGAAAATACTTTCATCTCTTTTATTCTGTATCATCATCATCATCATCATAAACAACAACAAAATCTTCTTGCTCATCATCTAAATAATCAACTGAATCAACGTTTCAATTAAATTAAACGCACACAAATTGAAGAGTAGGAAGAGAATAAAAAAATTCATTAGCGAATAAAAAATCAACAGTAAACATGACGAAAGAGAATCATAATTAATATTTAATTCATTTCCATTGTTTGCAATGAAAAATTAATAACAACAAGATGGCGAGAGAAAAAAACACCAACAGAATCAACATGAGCACCTAAACATGATTCTTGGCATCGTAAAGTTAACATGATAACATGAAAATAAGTTCTAATGGAAGAGAGAATTGAAAAAAAAAATATATTCTTTTTCCCATCATCTTCTTATCATCTTGGCTCAGCATGAGAGCAGACAAAATCCATTGGCACGGCCAATGAATTACAATTGAAAAGTAATAATATCAAACAACGTGCCAAATGCAAGTGAAGTTGTTGCAGAAAGAAAAAAGGTAATTGTAATTTACTGTTGATTGTTGTTGTTGTTGCAATAAACAGTAATGATAATAATTGAAACCAGAAGCAATTTAAGTGATAATTGATGCACACGAAAACGCGTGCAACCATAAACAGCAAGAAAAACGTGCACTATGGTTGTTTACTGATCAATAAGATTTCTATTTGTTTGCTAATGTAAAGTTGACTGTTAGACAGAAACCATTTCATCTTTGATTGCTAACCGTTTGCAACAATTAACTTGAACATAAATACACACACACACACACACACACACACAAATATATAAGCTCATTAATTCAGCTAATTTAATAGCAACAATCAACACATCATTCACAATTCAATACATAATATCAAATATATTGCTGGTTAATTTAAAAAAAAAGGTTCTCAGTTATATTTATATTATTGCAAAGTTAATAAATTTCAAAAAGCAAAATATAATAACAAAGTAATCATCATCATCATCATCATCTTTATCATCATTATCAAGCAGAAGGTAATACCAATTTATACTCAGAATAACATGGGAAATGATGAAATCATTTGACCTTCAAGATGATGATGATTGTGATAATGAATAAAGATGATGGTGATGATGATGTTTGAGAGAAGGAGGAAAAGTTGATTATGCTGATGATGATTAAGATGATGATGAAAATGATGAATATAAGAAAAGGTTAGGCTAATAAATTGCTCTGTTGGTGGCAGATTTTGGTGATGGTGGTGGAGGGTTTGTGTTCATTTTATCATCTCTCTCTCTCTCTCTCTCTCTCTCAAGTGTGTACCCACCACCATTCATAACGTGTTGAGTATTAATATTTGCAACATCAACGTCCAATCATAATTACAATTAGTTTACTTGAGGTTTTACTATAAACTTTGATAATTATTATACTAATTCATCATTTTTGTAGCTATTCACTCAATGATAATCATGATTGTTGTTGGTGAATTGATAGACTTGTAATTTTGCCATTTATATGCAACCAATGATGAACATTTTAATTTGCTTTGACTCTTTTTTTTTGCATAATAATGATAATGATAATGATTATCATTATCATCATAATGAGGATGATCAAGTTAAATTATGTCAAATTGTGAAAGGGAAAACAAATGATGAGACTTTAATGATAATGCTAATGATGATCACTATGAGTCCTTGGGTGTTTATCATCATCATAGTGACTTTTTTTTCTCATTGAAAAGGGTTTACCTAAATTACAATATTAGTATTGATTCATTATCTTCATCAGAACTTATCATAATGAAAGGGAAGGATAAACATGAAAAGAGAGATTAACAAAAAAGTAACATCATGTTACTTTTTTACTTAGTACTTTGTTTTTCCACCTCTCATCATCAACAAAAAAAGGTAGAAAAAAAAACAATTCGGAAGCATCTTCATGGTAATTACGAGATAAAATAATTGTGATTATAATGAATGGTAGTTTAGGTAATTATATCTGAATTGGTTGATGATGATGATGATGATGATGATACAAATACGATAGAGATGAGGATTGAAGAGGAGCGGTGAGAGTGAAATGATAATGATAATGTTGAATGTGAGCAATTTGATTACAATTAAAAGGTTATGATGTTTTTACCATCAAGAATTAACTTTGAATGGATGATTGAACATTCAATCAAAAAGTGAGAGAGCAACTGAGAGAGAGATGATGAAATTAACTCTGTAAAGATGATGAGAGTGAGAGATTCATTTAATAAGAGAGTTGATAATGATGAAGATAAAGTTGTAATAACAAGTTGGAAACAATTTTTTATTCACTCTGTCTGATCATCTAATGATGATGATGATCAACATGAAAAGCAAAGATCAACAACAGGTCAATCGTAACCAGGATTACCTAAGTTTCAGATGATGATGATGATAGTTTTTCATCTCAATCATCATCAGTTAGAAAACAATAAGAGCAAACAGTAAACAAGAAAAAGAAAATAAAAGATTTACCTTGAAAGATTTTCTAAATCTTCATCAATTTGTCTTCCTTTACTTTTGATATTAGTTCAAAGTAACATGATGATAGAATTGATTAGAATCAATTCTCTCTCTCTCTCTCTCAGTCTTAATCATCTTTTCTGGTTCCTGAATACAATTCTAACGGATTAAGTTTCAAGGTAAAAAAAAGGTAACCCGATATGTTAAACCAACAACAATAATCCAATACCTTTTATTTTTGATATACTAACCATTACTATTTACCCAATGATGCTCAAAGATACTCAATATCCTATTCAAATAAAATAGTGAAGATAAATGAATAATATTTATCATCCTCATCTTCATGATAATATTATGTAATAATAGTAATAACAATCTAATATGTATAGAGACATAAACTGTTGGATGAAAATAACATTTCATCACAAGAGATGAAGGAAAATTTTGTCATCATCATGAGGAAAAAAAAAGTTGATCTCGAAAAATTCATTACCCTGAACCGATAATCATCATACTCGTTGTCTCCCTCATCATGATTATCATCATTCTGAATCGGTGATAATGAAAGATGAACCAAAGATATTATGTATTAACATTGATACAAATGATCAACAATGTAAATCAGTTAATTTGATTTGATTGTGTAATGGCAAAGGTTAAATTATCAATAAGGACAATTGATGTAAAATGAAGCTTAATATTATGTTACAATTTACAGTTATATTAATTTTTATCTTCCTTTTATCATCAACATCATTATTATTATTGATATTGTTGTCATAACATATACAGAAGATATTTAACAAAAAAAAATGTCACCAACATATTATATTGAGAATGCAATTGTTATATTATATATATTGATATGCAAAAGGTTTTCAAGTTGATTGTAATGATTATATTGATTTGATTGAATAGAAATCAAATTGAAAGGTTCAATTGATTATATTGCAATAGTAATAAAATTGAATTATTAAAAGAAACTAATCAATTTAGTTATGCATTTTATGCATACCCTTCATCATAATTATCATATATTAATACACATTACAATCATGTTGATGATGGTAAACGCATTTTGCAATATCTTTACAAATAATAATAATACAATCAATGAAGATGAAGGATCATCATCATCATGAGGATATTGAAAAGGGCTTGTTCAAGGTCATGGGTGAT